AAATAACATATAAATAAATCTTTATATTTTTTATAAAAAAATATAAAAACCTCTCTACCTATTTTCTTCCCCCTCTTTCTTTCTCTTTCTTCTAGCGGGGAAAGAAAATAGGTGGAGAGATTTTTTATTTTTATTAAAAATATAAAAATTTATCTACATATTATTTTATTTATTCATGTCATCATTATTTCTAATTAGATGATCTATGTTATTATTTTTTTTCAGTTAGATTATACATGTCATAAAAAAAATATAAAAAATGCCACATGAATGAAGTTAATGGTTTAAACTGACGAAAGTATCAAAATTGTGCAGTTGTTAAAGTTAAATGATAAAAAAAGTGCAAAAAATAGTTAAAGGACCAAAAAAGTGCAAAAAATAGTTAAAGACCAAAAAAGTATAATTTAATAAAGTTGAAGGATAAGAAAGTATAATTCAATAAAGTTGAGGGATAAAAAAATGAAATTTAATGAAGTTGAGGGACAAAAAAGTGAAACTCAATGAAGTTGAGGGACCAAAATTAGCATTTAACCAATTTTTTTGTGTGAAATGTGACGGAACATTAACGGAATAATAAGAGATTTAAGGGAAGTTAGTTTTCCGTCCAATTGGGTCCTTATTTGAGAATTTCGTGGAGTTCGGGACCTTCATTGAGCGCAATCGAAGTTTAGGTCCGAAATTGCGAATTTGGTGTAAGTTCGGGTCCTTATGTCATATTTTTGCCATAACTAACTAAATAAAAAATTATTTTTATAGTTTTAATATTAATCAATATTAAAAAATATAATCATTAAATCCACTAGCTACATGTTAAAAATCCCTAATTAATTTTAGTGATAATAATCTAGTTTTTTTAGTCAATTATAATTTGTCTTGTGCCATTATAAACGCTAGTTCCTTTGCAAACTCAATTCAAACCTTTATTGTGATTTTTATTGGACAAGTTATACTCAAATAATGTTCCAGAAAATGGTCAAAGGCAACTGGTTGTTGAGGGGGTAAAGAAATTTGAATATCTTGTATAGTGATGGAATTTTATCGTTTTGTAAAGATGAAATCATGAATATGACTTTGTTTTCTGACAACTGTCCATTTTCAAGTATGACATGGTATTA